AAGAAACCATAAAAAACTAAGGACCAGCCATCAGTTACCGATAGCAACACTTATTGTTAGTGTCTAACTAGTTTTTGAGATTAATATAAAAACTGATTATTAAAACTGAAGAATATAATCAGTATCTGACAAACCGATAAAAAAAACTGTCATCACACCCAGAGAAATGATTTACTCAGAACAAATAAAATTTTGTTCAGATGAGTAAATTCTCTTCTTTATATATGGGCCTATTGTCATTTTATTAATATCTAGCTCATTTACTTATTTGGCAATATACTACTAGATATTGGGCGTTTTCCAGCAAGGACACAATGTGACACGGTGTAACACTGTGAATCATTACATCCTTGTTGTTTGCCAATATTAAACAAGGATGAAACGATTCAGTGTGTTACACTGTGTCCTTGCTGGAAAACGCCCATTACTAGAAACTAATAAATTCTTAAGTTGACATATTCATTGTCAACCTAGTAAATGTATTAGTATCTAATAAAATATTTATTTATAGTAAGAATAATTTCTTTTTTAATAAATTTGAATATATGTTTTATTTCCATATAGACAAATTGCTTGTTTTATGTAAAAATTAAATAAAAATACAATTGTTGCTTAACATTTATTTATTGGGACTCAGTGTATACGTGTATTATAATCACATTTGACAAATAATTACTCGATATGCGTTATAACAATCTAATATTTTGTAGCAGCGTCTTAACGTCAAGTAGTTTTTAATTACATGGTATAAGGAACACTAATATAGTGTTTCTTATTCATTGTGCGTAAATATAAAGGTGTTGAATCTGGCAAATTATTGATATTAATATATTGGTTCTGAACATATATTTCACTTGGTTCAACAACATATGAGTGGCAGTGTTAATGAAAACCGAGGGTCTGTAAATTTTGATAGTAAAACAATACCGTCTCCTGCTTTGTAAATATAGCTGTAACTAATCCAAAATGTGGCATATCGTCATGTGTACCTATGCGTATAACACATCTTCCTGCTTTATACAATCGTCCGTTGTAATCAACCCATTTAACAGGGACGAATTCTTTATCAAAGTGACAAATTACAAATGTAGTCCGAGATCCTTGGTTTATTATGTTATTTAGAATTTCATCATTTGATAATCTGTATGCTAAACGCAACTGATGATCAATTGCAATGGTTTGAGTCAAATTGATTCGACTCGCCGAATTTCGAGCCGTTTGTAACCCTGTTTTATGTTTCCCTTCAAATCTCATGCACCAAAAATTACGCAGAGGACCATAGTTATGAATAATGCGCCAATAGTGCACCATGAAATGAAATTTTGGTGTAAGATAATACTCAGTCTGTTCATAGCACGGAACTAGCCTACAAGTGTCAATGTATAGTTCATGATGTTCCTCTATAAGAACTTTTAATAAATTCTGCGTACCGACTTGATAGGACGGTGCGAGAACAATATCCATTATGTCACACAAAGTAGTATAAAGTGGCCACACGTTATTGCCTTCCGGGATAAGATGCCCAATCATGAGTCCAAAATTTCGCACAAGGCACATCATTTCCGCGGCTTTAATGTTTATATTTTTCTTCCTCAATGCATCTTGAGTTATTACTGGAGGCTTATTACCGAATTCAATATATCCATAATCAAAAGACTGAATACAAAAATTTATGGTCTCTAAAGATATCATGCGAACTGTCGTGTAATAAGTTATTATTAGAGTCATGTCATATTTACACACTCCTTCGAGTAAATCGTGCATTATGTCGACAGCGTTATTATTAACGACGTGAAATGACGGGATTTCATTGAAGATCGAGTTTTCTCTTATTCCGGTTAATCTATAGTTGCCAATTGTAAGATCGTCATTATAATTTTCTAAGGTACGTAGCAAATGTTCATTTTCTCCATGCATGTTACATGCCAGTAAGTCGCGCTTATGTCCCTTGCAGATACGACAGAAATAATTACTCGAACAACTCGAATAACCAAGAATAGAATTCAAGCCAGCATTATCATGGCCAATGAAAAGTATATTTTTTGCGATATTCCATTACCTCGATCAACAACGATCCCTTCTGATTCTAGAAATATTAGTTCCTGAACTAAAACACGAAAAATTTCGTTTCCTTCGGATGCAATGTCTTGGTAATGAGCAAGTAATGCTAAAAAAATGCTACTCAATCGAGATTGAAATTCTAACGGAAAACACCGAAGACTTATATAAACTGCACCCATTTTGTGAATTCCAGTATGAGAACCGAGAGGATTATTGCATTCAAATTCATCATAGTAAATATATAAAGGAATTACGAATTTATATGAAAAGAATTCACGCTGTTTAATTCTCCAAGAAGAGGTGTGAATTGTATCGTCAACTATATGATCATGATTTTGCTGGTGCATGTACGTATATGCCATTTCAAAAATTCTCGGCAAACTGAAAATAGTTTTGAACAATATCCGTAAAGGTACAAACGTTATGGTGACTTCAACCGGCACTCTCACAATTGTATTACCGATAGCTATGTCATCGATTCTTTGGCGAATAAATACTTTTCTTGGGGCAACGTACAATCCTGCTTTTTCCATCAATTGCATCCTTTTGAACTCTGTTGCATTTTCAGAAAATGAATTACTCATAAAAGAGACAATATCCCGAAGATTATTCTGAGTATTATCGGTTGCAGTTACATCATTTTCTAACACAGTTCCAACGATAGATAGTAACTGGGAGGTACTTTCAATAATATTTTGAATAGCTTTACGGGACAAGCTATTGTCAAGATACAATTTAGACAAATATTTGCATGTTATTTTTCTTAATCGATCAATAATTGGTAAATCTGTAATCGGCTCATTTTCTAATGGTAAAGGATCTTCTTCAAGTAAATCAACCTCTTCAGCTGAATTAACCCATTAAAGATTGTTCTACATTTGGAAGTCTTAAAACAATTTTGGATAAAGAATTCAGCGGCTGATGAAAATGAATACTCCTTATATGACGTTTAAAAGAATCTAATCGCTGAAACGTTCTTTCACAACCAATCTGGCCACAAGTGTAATTTGTCAAGTTGATATGATAATC